TTTTCATACTATTGTGAATGGGATTGTTTTCTTTATTTCTTTTTCAGATAGTTCATCGTTAGTGTTTATAAATGCAACTGATCTATATGTTGATTTTGCATCCTGCAACTCTACTGAATTTGTTGATCAGTTCTAACAGTTTTTTGGTGGAGTCTTTAGGATTTTTCTATGACTAAGATCACATAATCTGCAAACAGACACAGTTTTACTTCTTCCTTTCTAATTTGGATACTTTTTCTTTCTTTCTCTTGCCTGATTGCTCTGGACAGGACTTCCAGTACTATATTGAATAGGACTGGTAAGAGTGGGCATCCTTGTCTTGTTCCTGATCTTAGAGGAAAAGCTTTCAACCTTTCATCATTGAGTTCGATGTTAGCTGTGGGCTTGTCATATACAGGCTTTGTTACTTTATTATGTTGAGGTATATTCCTTCTATCCAATTTGTTGAGAGTTTTTATCATGAAAGGATGTTATATTTTTTCAAATGCTTTTTCTGAATCTATTGAGATGATTATATGATTTTTATCTTTCAGTGTATTTTGTGATGTATCACATTTATTGATTTGCATATGTTGAAACATCCTTACATCCCAGGGGTAAATCCCTCTTGATCATAGAGTATGATCCTCTTAATGGGCTGTTGAATTCAGTTTGCTAAATGTTTTTGAGAATTTTTGCGTCTATTTTGATCAGAGACATTGGCCTGTAGGTCCTTTTCTTGTAGTTTCCTTATCTGGTAAAACAGGCTTTTGGTAATACTGTTCTTGTAAAATGAGTTTGGGAGTGTTCTCTCCTCTTTAATTTTTTGGACTAGTTTGAGAAGGCTTGGTATTAATTATTCTTTAAATATTTGGTAGAATTCACCAGTGAAACAATCTGAGCTTTTCTTTGTTAGGAGGTTTTAGGTTACTGATTCAATCTCCTTACTTGTTATTGATCTGTGCAGATTTCCTATTTATTTAAGAGTCAGTGTTCATTAGTTGTATGTTTCCAGGAATTTATACATTTCTTCTTCTTCTTTTTTTTTCTGAGGAAGATTAACCCTGAGCTAACTACTGCGAATCCACCTGTTTTTGCTGAGGAAGACTGGCCCTGAGCTAACATCCATGCCCATCCTCCTCTACTTTATACGTGGGACGCCTACCACAGCATGGCTTTTGCCAAGCTGTGCCATGTCCACACCCAGGATCCGAACCGGCAAACCCCGGGCAGACAAGAAGCAGAACGTGCGAACTTAACCGCAGCGCCACTGGGCCGGCCCCTATACATTTCTTCTAAGTTATCTAATTTGTTGGCATATAATTGTTTATGGTAGTCTCTTATGATACTTTGTATTTCTGTGATATCAGTTGTAATGTCTCCTCTTTCATTTATAATTTTATTAATTTGTCATCTTTTTTCTTTGTCTAGCTAAAGGTTTGTCAGTTTTATTTATCTATTTAAAAACCAAGTCTTAGTTTCACTGATCTTTTCTCTAGTCTCCTGGACTCTATTTCATTTATTTCTGCTGTAATTTTTATTATTCCTTCTGCTAACTTTGGGCTGAGTTTTTCTTTCTCTATTTCTTGGGGAGTAAGTTAGGAAGCTTTTTTGAGATCTTTCTTTTTTCTTAATGTGGGGATTTATGGCTATAAACTTCCCTCTTAGAACTGTGTTTGCTGTATTTCATAAGTTTTGGTATGTGGTGACATTTTCATTTGTCTCAATATCTTTTTTGATTTTGATTTCTTCTTTGACCCATTGGTTGTTTAGGAGTGTGTTGTTTAATTTCCACATATTTGTAGGAATTCCAGTTTTCCTCCTCTTTTTGATTTCTAGTTTCATTCTGTTGTGGTTGGAAAAGATATACTTGATATGATTTCAATCTTATATTTATTAGGATTTGTTTTGTGACCTAACATATGATCAATACTGGATAGTGTTTTGTTTGCACTTAAGAAGACTGTGTATTCTGCTACTGTTGGATGGAATGTTCTGTATATGTCTGTTAGGTCCATTTGGTCTAAAGTGTAGTTCGAGTCCATTATTTCCTTAATGATTTTCTGTTTGGATGATCTATCCATTGGTGACAATAGGCTATTGAAGTCCCCTACTATTATTGTACTGTTGTCTACTTCTCCCTTCAGATCTATTAGTATTTGCTTAACATATTTGGGTGCTTCTATGTTGGGTGCATCTATATTTATGATTGTTATATCCTCTTGATGAATTGACTCTTTATCATTATATAATGACTTTGTCTCTTTGATAGTTTTTGAGTTAAAGTCTGTTTTGTCTTTTGTAAGTATAGCTCCCCCTGCTCTCTTTTGGTTTCCATTCTCATGGAATACCTTTTCCATCCCTTCTCTTTAAGCCTCTGTGTGTCCTTAAAGCTGAAGTGAGTCTCTTGTAGGCATCATACAGTTAAGGCTTGCTTTTTTTTTTAAATCCATCCAGCCACTCTATGTCTTTTGATAGGAGAGTTTAATCTATTTACATTAAGAGTAATTGTTGATAAGTAAAGACTTACTAATGCCATCTTATTGTTTTCTGGCTGTTTCATAGTTCCCTTGTTCTTTACTTCCTCTCTTGCTGCTTTCTTTTGTGAACTGACGGATTTCTGTAGTGGTATGCTTTGATTCCCTTCATTTATGTTTTGTGTATCTACTGTAAGTTTTTGCTTTGCTGTTACCTTGAGGCTTACATAAAATATTATATATAAAACAGTCTTTTACACTAGCAATCTAACTTCAATCACATATGAAAACTCTCCCCTTTTCATTTCTCCCATTATGTTTTTGATGTAACAATTTACCTCTTTTTTGTATTGTGTATGTGTTAAAGAAGCATTATATATATAGTTACTTTCAATACTTTTTTCTTTAATCTTATACTAGGTTTGAGTGGTTAATATACCACCATGTTATTGTTATTAGAGTGTTCTGAATTTGACTATACACTTAATCTATACCAGTGTGTTGTATATTTTAATATGTTTTCATGTTACTACTTAGTGTCCTTTCATTTCAGCTTGAAGAACTCATTTCAGCATTTCTCGTAAAGCAGGTCTGGCGGTGATGAACTCCTTCAGCTTTTGTTTGTCTGGCAAAATCTCTCTCTCCTTTACTTGTGAAGGACAACTTTGTCACCTAGAGTATTTTTGGTTGGCAGTTTTTTTCTTTCAGCAGTTTTCAATATATCATCCCCCTGTCTCCTGACCTGTAAAGTTTATGTTGAGAAATCTTCTGATAGCCTTATCCGAATTCCTTTGTAAGTCACAAGATTGTTTATTCTTGCTGCTTTTAAAATTATTTCTTTGTCTTTGATTTTTTATACTGTTTTATTATAATGTGTTTTGGAGAAGATCTCTAAGTTGAGTTTGTTTTTTGACCTCTGAGCTTCATCAGCTTAGATATCCAAAACTCTCCCCAGATTTGGGAAGTTCTCAGCCATTGTTTCTTTAAATAATCTTTCAGCCCCCTTATATAATGGAGTCTTCTGGGACTCCATTAATTCAGAGTGTTACTTTTGATGGTACTCCATAGATACCTAGACTTTCTTCACTGCTTTTCATTGTTTTTCCTTTGTTCTTCTCTGGAGAGTTTCAAAATTTCTATCTTCTAATTCACAGATTCTTTCTTCTGCTTGACATCTTCTGTTGTTGATGCTCTCTATTGCATTTTTTTTTTTTTCCTTCCATTTATTGTATTCTTCATCTCCAGAATTTCTGTTTGGTTCTTTTTTAATGATTTTTCTCTCTCTGTTAAACTTCTCATTTTGTTCATGTATTGTCTTCTTGATTTTGTTGAATTGTTTTTCTGTATTTTCTTGCAGCTCATTGAGCTTCCTTAAAACAGCTATTTTGAATTTGTTATTGTGTGAATCACAGATTCCCATGTCTTGGTGTCTTGCGTTGCTGTCTTTGCATTTAAAGTAGCAGTTACCTATTCCAGTCTTTACTAACTGACTTAAGGAGAGAAATATCTTCCATCAGCCTCACTATGGATTCTGAGGCTTTCTCAGAACTTCTATGGATATGCCTGCACCGTACTTCTTGTTCCTCCTTGAGGAAGACTTCTTGAGCTTTTATGCTTTCTCTAGACCCTGCAATCCACCAGGCTGGGTGCTGACAGCTTCCCTTTTGCTTTTCCAAGGGTAGAGCTAAAGCTGAAATTTGTGTTCTCTCTTTGGCTTGCAGATTTGGGCCAGTTTCTGCACTATTCACTAGTAGTTTGCCAAATCTTGCTCTTGCTGCCATCATTAACGTGCACAGGGAACTGGCCACAATGTGGGGGGTTGTCTGTGTATAATTTATGGAGTGTTGGGAGTGCCTATGCTCTATTTGGGAGACCATCTGTTGCGGGATCCCCTGTGGCTCAGGGGTGGGCTTCTTGATGGAGTCATGACCCAATTAGTAGGATCTGTGCCCCTTTAGTATTCTCCAAGAGTCCTATCTGCCACTCTCCCAGCATCTTCCCACCTCCAGTTATGCAATTCATGACTCAGTACCCTGGATGGGGTGAGAGAATAATGGGCCTTTTTGTCCCATTTGGGGAGGCCAGGTGCTCACTCACACTCTCTTACTTTCTCCATGGGAGAAATCACAGGCACTGTGATGTGCTGCCTTAGGGGAGAGGTGATACAGGTAAAGTCAAACAGTTCCTCTTACCCACTCTGATGCATCCAAACTCATACTTATTTACTCCAAAAGTATGCTGGAACTTCTCTGCTGGAAATCTGGACTTCCACAGATACTCTCTTGTCTGTGGGTGTTTGTCTAAGACAGTGTTCTCCAGGGACTCCTGGACCCTGGCTCAGAGGGGTTAGAGCTGGTTCACAGGCCACTACAGGGTCCCTAGCTGGAACTGAGGTCTGTAAGCCTGTTACCCAATGCACACGTTGGTGAGACTCCTCCTGGGTCCCTTCGTGTATGGTGCTGGATCCTATAGCTTCCACAAAAGCACTTTGTCCATGGATAAGTGCCACTTGTTAAGAGAGGGATATGAATGAGAGATGTCTTATTCAGCCATATTGCTGATATCACTTCCCAGGTTTGTTCCTATCTCCTGATTGGCAACCTCACTTTACTAAGTCATGTCCTTAACCAACTTCCAATAAAACCGTGTGTGGTTGGTAAACTTCACATCTTTTCCTTTCCATATCTGACAGTATTGTTATTCTTTCTTCATGCCTGCTTGCAATTTTGAAAAGGTATACGTTCATTGATAGAAAAGTTTTCCTTTGGAACTTCAAGGCCTTTCTTATTATCTTAATGATAGAAGTATCTGACAGTCTGACTTTTATTAGTCTGTTGTCAGTTTGTTTTGTTTTTTTTTTTCTCCCACTGGGATATTTTATGATTTTCCTTTAACCCTGGAGGTTCTGAAATTTTTTAAATGATGTATTTAGTGGTGAGTCTTTTTTCATTAATTTTGCTAAATATCTGAAAGTCCCATTCTATGTAAAGAATTAGGCCTGTTATATCTGGAAAATTTTCCCTTATTATTTATTTTGGTAATTCTCTCCTTCATTTCTCTGTTTCTCTCTCTAGCTCTGTTACTTAATGTTGGACTTCCTGGGTCTATTCTCTGTATCTTCTCTTTTCTATCATATATTATATTTCTTTGTCTTCTTTTTTCATTTCAAGGAGATTTTCTTAATTTGATTTTCCAAGCTTTCTATTAAATTTTCCATATTTTTAGTCCCCAATTATTACTTTTATAGATACAATATCTTTTCACCAGGGATTCTAAGTAGAAAACTTTTTTCATTTATTAAGAAGAAATGATTGCTCTTATTTTTTAGAATTAAGTTTAACTCCATTATTTTAAAATTATACGAACACTTTATGAATGAATCCTGTAACAAAATGCAATGGTTATTAAATTTGCTTTCCTCAGTACTTCCGGGGGAAGAAGTCCAATGAGGGCAGCATTTCTATATTTCTAAGACACTGATCATAATGCTATTCAATATAACCCTTATATTACAATAACATACATACTTAACACAGACACACTCACAGATACATACACACACCCACCACCTCCAAAATGCTGTATTCCTACCCCATGAATAATTGAAATTTACATAAAATTTATTTGAAATACCTTTATTGAAAACTCTTAGTACATTAGTGCGTTTTCAGGTGACCACTTTTTTTATACTAAAATTTTTATTTTATACATTTGGGATCATAATAGTTGATCTTTTGCCTTCTTTTTAAAATACACTTTATTTAAGAACAGTTTTAGGCTCACAGCAAAAGTGAGCAGAAGGTACAAAGACTTTCCATATCCCCCCTGCTGTCATCATGCAGAGCCTCCCCCATTATTAACGTTCCCCACTAGAGTGGCACGTTAGTTACAATCGAAGGACCTACACTGACACATCATTATCACCCAAGGTCCATAGTTAACATTAGGGTGCACTCTTGGTGCCATGCATTCCGTGGCTTTGGACAAATTTATAATGAGATGTATCCACCATTATAATTTCATACAGGGTAGTTTCACTGTCCTAAGAATCCTCTGTGATCTGTTACCTGCATTTTCATGATCATCTCTGGTTCAGATTCCCTGCATTTACTAATTCCTAGTCTGCATTTTAAGTTATTCTCTTACTTTTACGTCATAGAATATTTTACGTCCTTGAATCTTTCCTACCTCTTCCCTGGGTAGACATGCATACAGATCTGTTGCATATAATGTACCTTGACTAAAAACTTGTGGGCCATATAGAGATGATATATCTTTCATTAGAGAGTAAAAAACAAAGTCATATGTTACAACTTCTTGCCCTAAGAGTTCTCTTAGCAACCCCTTCACCAATGATATGTCACTGACCACTATACTCTATCTATTTTCTCAGCCTAACTTAGTCTCAGCCTCTCTTATTCTAGAGTGGAAAAAAATTCTCCAATTAACATATGAAAAGAAATTCATCCATAGCTCCTTGTTTGAATCTCCTAAATCATTAAAGAGCTCAGAAAACCAAAAGTGATTTTTTTATGGTATGGTTCATTCTTTTAAATAAATTAATTATGGATATAAATAGCAATGTTTTCTTATGTATTTGTATACTATCTACAAGGCACTGGCTATATAATGAGATTATTCAAATTCTGTCAATAGCTCTTCAAGGAAAGTATTGCCACTCCCACATTATGGATGATAAAATAGGGCTCAGAAATGTTAGATACTTTACCCAGTGTTGTAAAGTTTAAAATACTAGCTATAAACTACTGAGTCCTGGATTTGGATATAGGTTTCTTTGCACCCAATTATCTGTACCAATTATTGTGTTAATATTTTGTCTTTATTCCCCAATTACATTTTAAACTTACTGATGCAGATGGCATGGATGAGGACAGCCTCATACATTCCATAATACTATCTTAGATGCAGTGTATGGACATGGCATTTGCAGAGTGGAAAGACTGTGTGCCTAAAACAATTTCAAAGGGCAAAATGACTCCAAGTCAATTCACACATACTCTCAAGAGTGTGGTCATGGAGAGCCAGAGAATGCCATCTGTTGATCCATTTCCTCTACAAGGTCTTCACTAGGAGACAGTGAATATAGAGGAGGATGCAGCACCCATAGCTGCTGCTACATTGTCTCAACAATGTTGTCCCTCCTGGGATTTCTCTCTCACAGGCTCATGCTTTCCTCAGTCAGGAGGGGTGAGGGGCAGGGGGCTGGGGAGATGGGGTGTTTTGCTGTTTTGCAGGGTGCGCAGGGATGCACAGGGGATTCAGTGAGTCTGATTTAGGCTTATCACCTAGAAACATCCTCATGCCATATTCATTCTACTGTCCTCGACATGCCATGGTGGCACAGGAAAATCTATGTGGTTATTTAGCAGAGCATCATTGAGAAGGTGAGGTAAACTTTTGTCCTAGGGACCCTAAATATGTCTGTGGCTTTTATTCCCATCCCTTTTCCGTTGTTACTAACTCTAAGTAAGGACAAGGTATTTGGTCCCTCTCGGATATCTGCATTATTGTCTTATTCTAATGCTTTTCCAAAGGACTTCCATTTCTTTTCCTGCCTAGAGAATTCTTATCTCCTCAAGAGTGAGGAGGGGAGAACAAAGCTACTATTATCATTCATTCTTCAGAAATTTAAAGTTTGGGGAACAAATTTTGATTTTAATACCCAAATTTTGACTTTTGGTACTTTTGAGGTTCAAAATTCCTTTCCCCTAAATTATTTCTCTGTCATAACTTTTAAAAACTACATTAAAATGAATATGGACTTATTTCTTGGTTCTTATGTTTGTGCTATAACAAATCAACACCAAGGCTATAGGGTATATGTTGATGCCTGAATTGGGAGTGGGGGGCAATGGCTGAGGGTGGGAACACAAGGAAGAGAGCATTACTCACCTCATGTATCAGAATATTATCGCTTTATATACTTGGTTGATCCTGTTTTACTGGGCATGAAATATGATCTGGAAAGTGAGATTAAATGGGCCTTAAGCATAAGTGGCTATGGTTCTAGTCAGCCTTGAGAAGAAAGACAGGAAATATTTTAATAAAAGGTCTCATAAAGGGAAATTTATTGCTTCCATGGAGATATTAGATCAGGGTCGCTAGGGGTTAGGTAACAGGGCAGAACATCCAAGGGATCTCACAATAGGTAACAATTGAGAAAAGAAAAATAAAAGTCAGGCAGTTAGACAGAGCATTCCGAAGGGTATGTGAGTTCTGAGGGGATACAGCATCTTAAGTCCCAGAGAAGAGGTGAGAGGAGGAACGTTGAAGAAGAGAAGGAACATGATGAACTGGGCCAGAAATTAGCCCTAGGTCATCTAGCACATCCACACTTCTCTTGTAGATGGGCAATGTACCTGCAACAGGGGGACATGGGTCCTAGGGGCCTCCTGTGCCATCATCATACCATTTCCCAATTCTACTTTTCAACCAAATTTGTGTCCACAACCTCCTCCCACTTTCCTTCCTCCTGTACTGTGTCTCCAGCTCCTAGCTCTGACAAATCTGAATCCTTCCCTTCCCTTCTAGGGTGTGACTCACAAAGGCCCTTGGTGTCTGGAGGCATCACCTGAGCGTAGGCCTCGGCTGATGAGGATGGAGCCCACCACGATGTCTACAAGGCCCATGGCCAACCCCAGGGCACAGACCACAGTCTCTGTCAGCTCTGACACAGGGGTTGGAATCTCAGGTTCTGTGAAAGTGAAATTGTGGAGGTCAGAATACAGAGTACTCCTGTGCATGCGCATGGGCTGGAGTGGGCTGGGGTTTGGTTCTGCAAAGACTTAGCGCAATGAATTTAGGGAGGAGGATGATGTCTGTAATTAGGAATCGTTGAAGCATGGAAAACAAGCTTTGGGCCATGAGATTTAGGAGCTAAAACATGGGATGTTCTGGACTTGACAGAGAAAAGAGGTTTCCAAAAGGGGTGGAACTCATACCTACCCCAATGTTTCAGAAGTGGTTCATCCAGGCCCCAGTGCTCCACCTTGCAATCATAAATATCGTCAGCAGAAGGGAGGAAGGTGAGGTAACTCATCTTAAAGAAGGAATGATCATTCTTGGGGAGAAAACTGGTCTCAGAAACACCTTCTGTGACTGAGTGCCCATCCTTTAACCATGTGACATTGATCACAGGAGGAAAGATGTTGTCCACAAGACAGATGAGGGTGTTGGGCTGACCCAGCATCACGGGAGACTTGGGAAACACAGTCACCTCAGGAACCTCTATGGTGAGGAAAGAGCACTGATGTGAATTGCGAATAGCTTTGCCCTGAGATTTCACATGGCATCCTGGAGGAACCCTCCCACCATTCCCCCATCTGATAGTGGAAGTTCTTGTTTCCCTTCTGCTTGAGAAACAGTATATACTGCCTGTACTTTATCCCTGTGCCCTTCTCTCTGTGGGCATGCCTGTTAAGGTAGGAGGTCTATGGGACCCTTCTTTGAAGGATACAAGGATTGTGTTATGGGAGTAAGGATCCTTGTATTACACCAAAATATGTGATTTTTGAGATGGGAGAGGATAAGCGTTCAGTAATTACTATGGGAAGATATGGGGACTCCTTGGAAAAGAGATTTTTATAGAATGGTGAATGGGTATCTATCCCTAGGGACGAAGGGAGCAAGGCCTGGTATGAAAAGATAGATTCAATTAAGAGACAGACTGGTGGACACGTACCATTGGTAGCAGCAGTAGAGTTGGAGAGTTTAATCAAGATGTCCAAGTTGTATTTTGACGTAGCAATGTTTCGCAGTGCACCCTGTGGGTCAAAACTTGTAAATTTGCTAAACATAGGCAGCCACCAGACAGTCTCCTTCTTCTCCAGGTCCACATAGAACTCCTCGTCTCCATCAAATTCATGGGTGAACTGCCCAGAAGGACCATAAGACTGGTAGACATTTGTGCCGTAGGAGCCAAGGTGGTCAGCTGATGAGTGAGGGTGAGGAGCAGGGAGGTAGAAAATAGAGGGAGAGAAAATAACCTTATTAAGCCAAGTGACAGAAGATACTACTTTCAAATGTTATGGGTTCCGTCTTTGGTACAGTCTCTAGGCAAAATTCCCAGCACCTGATTCCTTCCCCCTCAGTGTTGGTAGTTGTCCAGTTAGAATCCAGTCTGTCTTTCCACTATAATACAGGCTCCATGAGGGAAGAATTTCACAGGTCATGGTTACTGCTATTCCCTTCATGCCTAACTCAGCACCTGGCACATCCTAGGCTTATGATAAAGATTGTAATGGAAAGAAAGAAGAATTTAATTACTTATTGTGGTATTTAGCTTTCTTCCCCAGAGATTCAGTTACTTCCCTCTGCTTCATAAGTTTTATCTCTCACTTAATTCTTTAATTAGTTAATAACACATTCATTATGGTTCCTCTCTCCCGTTAGGATTGGCTCAGAGCAGAACATTTTCTACACGGGGATTTCTTCCTCCTTTTTTTTTAACGAAGGAAAAGCACACAGGATTTATTTATTATTTGAGGGAAGTTCCCTCTAATTATTATAGGGTATAAGAAAGACTATGGCAATGACAGCAACAATATTACAAAATACACAATGCTTCCAAGGTCTCTGTTTTGTTAACAGTAGTGATCCTTAAAGGAGAGCACCTGATTCCTTCTAATATAAAAAATGGAAGCTTTATCAGAATTCAGATTTCTGTTATTTCTTACCCCTTTCTTTTTCTTGAAGGAGGTTACTAAACGTTTCCTTTTTCTGACTCAACACCTATATTTGTGGAGGACTCAAGGTAAACTATGAGTCTTTCCCTCAAATGGACGATGTGCTTATCAGAGGATGCCATAACAGAATGGCAGCCAGTACAGCATGACTCCACCAAAATGAGCCTAACTGTATAATTTTGTCAAGACATATATGAGACTTTTATCAATCCCTCTTCCTTTCCTTCCTTGTTTACCGAGCATCAGCAAGGATTCAGACATCACAAGGAGCAGGGAGTAAAACACCAATCAGGCATGGTCTCTGCCCTCAAGGAGCTTATTGAATAGTGGGAGAGCAGATGAGTAAAGGAGTGAATATGGTACACTGTGGCGAGTTCTGTGATGGGGACACTGGCAGCCTTATATTCCAACATCCTCTGCAACTACACCATCTGCGAAGAAAACAAACCTATGTTATCCTTTCATGTTCCTTGGTCTTTGCAGGAGTTTGTTTTTCTCCCTGAAATGAAATTATCTTTCAGGATTTCCTGGACAAATTTAGTTCATTCTTGAAGTTTATGCTTTGTTACCAATCTTTTAGCTAAGTTCTCTCATTAAACATCTTTTTGACCACATTATGACCTCCAACCCTTCCATTCCAATGTCCTGCCCTCCAAGTTTATTTATTCTTTATCTGGCTCACTCTCGTCCCTTGTGAGTCATACCCAACATGATTCCCTCAGTTGATCGCTTAAAAGGACCTCCAACAAAGCCCCCTTGTCCTTGCAATGAATCTTCTTGACTTTTTTTTCAAACGTGAGTGTGTGCAATTATTCTTTTCATCTGGTACTTGTCCTAGGCTGCTGACTGTTGATGAAGAACATCACACCCTTGGGCCAACTGGAACCAATTCACTTTTATAGTTTCAGCCTCAGCTTGGGTCCACTGTCCAGCTCAGCAATGGTCCTTCTGCTTTCATGCACCATATTCTTTCCATCACTAATCTGTGCTGTCTAGGGGACAGACGGCATCTTTGAATCCTCAAAACTTATTTTGCTGTGTGCTCAAAAATGGATATTGAATGTCAATTGCTGTTCTCTAGAATCACAGAGATTTTGGGGAAGACTTACAGACACTGTGTTAGCAGAATAATATGACAGTCAGAATCAGTGGTGACCAGAGCTGCATGATGACTTGTGAGCCCTAAGTGCTTTTGTGGGCCCCTTCTTCCATGGAAATGTTAAAAATCATATTTTATGACTGTATTGATATAAAGACAAATATAATTCAGGCTGGACTAAAATTAAAATATTTTCTTCTACTCTAAAAGTTCATTTTTTTCTTTTAATTTTATAAGAAATTAAAACATGTTCATGGAGCCCTACAAGTATCACAGACCCTCAGCACTATGCTCATGTTCCTAATGGATGAGTCAAGCTTGAGCACGGCTCTATGGTCTGACACTGAAGAAAGGAAATTTGGAAGCGTTCTGGTGAAGCAGGTGAAATTTCCACCACTAAAGAAAATTAGAATGGGAGCAGCCATGATTAATAAAGTTGCTGAAAATTAATGTAACTTCCATTTCACTTTCTCTTTTAACTATTTGGCTTTTCTACTTTGGTTTTTATAAACCCACTCTTCATTTTTATAAAACAATAGGGAAAAGAGCCAGGAATGGATCCTGGAAGGAAAGGAGGATAAAGGAATGTATGAAGAGAGGGTGGTAGGAGGTGATCAGCACAGGCAGAGGAGTGTAAGGGGCCAAATAATTACTCTGTGCTTGCCCAGTTTTCCTCTTACAGGTCTTCATTAGATAAAGTGGAAGATAGGCAATTTGAGCTGACGATTTGAGAATAATATAATTTAATTCACCAAGCTTTTCATCATAAAGTTCTCAATTTTAAAATAGAAATAAAGGTATTTCATACTTTGTTAAAGAAAAAGATGACCTTCACCTGTAATAGTAATAATAAAAAAATAAGAAAAATTATTGACACATATGACTTCATTATTTAGAAAGTATTTCTACATACCTATTGTATTTGATTATTTGTGAGGTGACACATATGAGGTGACTGAGATTAAGTGAAGACCATGTGGTAAAATGACTTATCTAAGGGCAGTCAGCTGGGCTCGTTTACCCCCCACCACTTGTGCCAGTTTCCCACTGTGGAAATGTATGTAAATCTGAGACACAGAAGAGGACACTCTTCTTTATATCTACATAGTATATATAATTTATGGAACTATTTACCCTAAGATAAACTATAGGATAAATTTATAAAAAGCTTCAAAAGTTGATCAGAAAAATTTGGGAGCAATAGTTCATGAAATTTTAGTAACAAAACATCCACTTGTGTAAACATCCCTAATCTTTGAGGCAATCGTGAAGGAATGCTATAGAGCCCTCCAGGATATACTCACTGGTTCCAACATCGGATGCCAAATAATGTCCTTGGTGAACTCTGCAATACACAGGTAGCAAGGAAAGTGGGTTGGGACTCTAGTTTCGTAAAGGAAGAATGACCATAATTTTTAGATCTGCTTAACATTGAGAATGCCTTTGAAGAGTCTCTACTATTTCTGTGCCAATCTCTATCTTTTTTCCCTTTCAATTTCCTATTTCCCAAGTCCAGTCTCCATATCCCTCAACCACGCACTCACCCACAATGTCTTCACCTCCACAGGTGCTCATCATGGTGATCAGGGTGAGGGTTCCCAGAATCAGAGCTCTGTTTAGGATCATTGTCTTCTCAAGGTAGTCTCAGCAGTTGCTGTTCTGAGTTGTAGAGCACTGGCGAGGATCCAGCTGAGGAGGAACTCCAAAGACACCCAAACCAGACCCTGCCAGATCAGCTTCTGGCCAATCAGAAAAATCTCCTGTGATGACACCTCAGTTGCTAGTTGAAGACTTAGTACTAAGAGGCCTGGAAGGGATTGGGAAATCTCCTGCTTCTAATGTAGCCTTCACTCAGAGTGGACCTGAGAGAATTTTCTATGAAAGGAGGGAGAGTATTAAGTCAGAACTTTCCCACATGTGTGTATACCTGCTGATGGCCAGAGGGGTGGGAATTTCTGAGCAGCCTGATGGCTAGATGAAGTCATCACCAATATGGTGTCCTTCGGGATTTTCTGGCTTACAACCTCCAAGAATTCTCCTGAGTTGATCCTCCTCCCTGCCAGTCCTCATCCCCTCCCCTTTCCCTGGCTTACATATCTGTGTTAGCTGTCTTTCTCTTTGCTTCCATACTGCATGGGAATCCTGTAAATTTTGGGTTGACTCACCTAACTAGGGGATCTCTGCTGGCAATAGCCAAGGGAATACCTTTGCCTTTTCTGCTGACATAAACCCAGATGAGTAGGTTCTTCTCATGCTCTCAAAAGCTCTAGTATTTGCACCCAGGGCAATAAAAGGAGGTATAATGTCATGAGTGCTGCCTACAGTGACTGCGTGATCTTTCATCTGAATGTTTCCTCTGCCTTGAGTATTCTTTACACTCTGTGTTTTGGTGCTGCCTATCTACGTTAAAAGGAAATTTGGAGACATTGATTACATTAAAGAAAATTTTGGCTGCCCTATTCTATGATTTTTTCTTTTTAATTTAAGAATGTCAAGTCAAATGTTGAGGTTGGAAGGAAAGGAATTGCTGTGATTCAAAAAACAGGTTTTCTTCCCTTAACTTAAAGGATCTTTTTATATTCTTTATCCTGCCACATTAAAATTCCAGATATTTGTGAGAGACTAGGGGTTGAGCGAAAGTCAAATGCAATCATTAGAGGTAGAATTATCTTTTTCAGAAGAATTAATTTTCTGTATATTACGAAAGTCACAAATTAATGGAGGTTCCATTTAGAATCAGTCACCCTGTCCCTGTTAGATGGCCCTTAGGTTCTCAGCACTGTGTCTTAACTCGTGGTGACAGAAACTGTGAAGATGGGTGAGACAGAAAAACCTCTGGTATCTGGGAGCTGCCTGGTACTAGGCCTTGGTGATGTCAGGAGCTGACCTGGTACTCACAGATAGGTTTTGGTGTTTTCCTAATGAACATAAACAGTTTCATAGAACAGCAGTATCAGACAGCCATGTTGTGACCATGATGGATCAAGACAGAAAACAAGGCCACTCAGTAATCATGTCTGAACACAGACAAAGCATGAACACTGTCCAAACCAGAAAACTGGCTGAACACACCTCTCTCTTATATAATACGAATGACTCCTGCTTCTTTGCCAATTACAACTTTAGCTTCAGTACAGTCTTCCTTCCTTCTAAGTAAGATTTATTAAGATGTCCAATTATAGAATTATCCCACCCTACCACCCACTTCCTAACAGAATCCAATTAAGGGCAAAGTCCTTCTTTCTTAAATCCCCCTCAAAATCACCTAACACAAGCAAAAACGCTATAATATTTAATGGTTTTGTGTATTGGTTAGCTTATAGTCCCCAGTTATTCAATCAAACATTAATCTAGGTGTTGCTTTGAAGATATTTTGCAGATTTGATTAAAGTCCACAATCAGTTAACCTCAAGAAAGGTTATCCTAGGTAATCTGGGTGAGCCAGATACAATCAGTTGAAGTCTTTTTTTTTTTTAGGAAGATCAGCCCTAAGCTAACATCTGCTGCCAATCCTCCTCTTTTTGCTGAGGAAGACTGACCCTGAGCTAACATCTGTGCCCATCTTCCTCTACTTTTTATATGTGGGATGCCCGCCACAGCATGGCTTGATGAGTGGTGCCACGTCCACACCCCGGATCCAAACCGGCGGACCCCAGGCCGCCGAAGCGTAACATGCGAACTTAACCGCTGTGCCACTGGGCCAGCCCAGTTGAAGTCTTAAGACCAGGGCTGAGGCTTCCCTGTGGAAGAAGAGATTCTACTGCAGCCTGCAGCTTCAGCCTGTGCTGAGAGTTCCAGCTTGCCTGTCCTGACAGTGACCTGCCCTATGGATCTTGGACTTGCCTAGTCCACTCCCACAATTGTGTGAACTATCCTTGCAATCATTCTCTTAATAGACATCTCCTACTGGTTCTAATTCTTGGGTTCCAACCCCCTCTTACTGAGATGCCCCATGATTCGCCATGGGGAGTTTTCTCCCTCACTGCAATGAACAATCAAATCAACTTGTTTGTCAATGGGTGTGCTCCTGGTGGTCTTTGGCTAGAGGCATTGGCAACACCTAATTAGGTGGTTGTGAAGAAAATACACATACTGCGCTTGGAATGAAAACTTCCTAGGACTCTTTAAATATACTTGTCGTAGTTTAATATCATCCCCATTTTATAAGGAGGACACTGAAGCTCAGAGAGGTGAAGGAATTTGCCCAAGGTCACTTGTCCATAAATAGCAGAGCCAAAATGTAACAAAGGCGAGCCATGGGTCCTTGTTGGGGGAGCACCCTAACATAAGTAGGATAGGTATTTGACACTATAGGTGGTCTTATCATTCTTTCTAGCCTCTGCCATTATGAACCCAGGGGATTTTTGAAGGTCCACTTGAGATGTGCTCCATTTACTATACTTTCTGTGCAGTAAATGATGTTGCTACACTTTTCCCCAAACCTAGACTCACCTGCCTTGTATCTTGCAGATATTACTCAAGATTTTGGCAAATGAATGAAAGCTTTCTTGATGATGCTCCAGATTTTCAGCTATTAATAGTTAAAAAAAATTCAACTCAAATTAGGAATTTAAGGTGTTAAACATGCAGGATTAGAATTGTATCTTGAATGGGAAGTTGAAGGTCCAGTCTCAGATCTCATATCCGGTGAGATGGAGGGAAAGTCAAAGCCACTCGTCAGGCCACGTTGAGGCGGCGTCCCACATCCCACAACTAGAAGGACCTACAACTAAGATATATAACTGTTTATGGGGGGGATTGGGGAGATAAAGCAGAAAAAAGAAAAAGAGATTGGCAACAGTTGTTAGCCCAGGTGTCAATCTTTAGAAGAAAAAAAAAGCAGTATTGAATACTTATTTATTTGATTAAAAGTCCATCTTGTTTTTGCTTTGCTACTCTGAACTCTATTATTGTGAAGCACCTTTAACTACTGCAAGATGGTAGAGGACTTGGCCTTTATAGTAAAACCTTACCAATGCATAATAACTAGGATAATTCACTAGTAATTTTAGTTTATATTCAAATTATGATCTGAAGCCAGAAGCTTCCAGAACAAGGCTCATAATGTGATAGCCGGATGAAGCAGGAAGAGGAGAGACAGTCAGGTTAAAGACAGATAGCTCATCTCCTAACTGTACACAGTTATATATCTTAGTTGCAGGTCCTTCTAGTTGTGGGATGTGGGACGCCACTCACCTACTTGTCACCATTTTACTTTTTCCCTCTTGCAAGCACAGCACAGCTTTCTCAAGGGAGATGTGAACTAAGGTCTGTTAATTACAATATGCATAAGGTACTATGATTTGTTCTCTCAAAAAATCTTTCAGATTTTATAGATGAAAACACAGAAACTTTGAAAATTTAAGTAATCTTTTTTTAATCACCATCATGTTATTCTGATGCAAAGGCCTGTGGACTGATATTTGGTTACATGTCCTCTCAATGATGAAGTTAACGGAGCACATGAACCTTGCAAAGACGGTTCTGATTTTCTTTAAATATCATTCCTACCGATTTTTTGCCACCACCAACTGCATGTTATGATCTAGTTGCTTTAAATAAGTCTCTTAAATAAACTGCTTTATAAAAGTTTTCTACTTAAAAATATGTGAAGTTACCTCCATGTCCAGATCTACCCTCACCGTAGCTCAAGATAACTCTTCAGTTAAACTGAACAGGTTATTTGATGAGGACTTTGTGCCGAGGTTGTAGGAATAATAAACAAATGCTTATTGAGTTGAACTGAAGCTCTTAATTCGTCTGAATCAGGTTACAGACTGACTGCCTGGAGACAGATGATGTTCTTCATGTCCGGTGGTGATTGGTTCTCTTCCCAGGAACTCTCCAATCCTAATGTACTTATCATGAACTTTCATTGTACAGAAATCTTAAATAAGCACTAATCAGGAAAACGAATAAAAAAGAATCTTAAATAAAAACTCTAAAAACAGTTTTTATTTTAAATTACATATTTTAAAATAAATGTCAACATATATATTTAAAACATTTTACCTGGAAAATTTTAAATTTTAATTTAACCAGAACTTTAAAAATACAAATAATAACACAAGTAGAATTCTAATGTTTCAATAACTGACAATACTAGAGAAAAGTAATCTATATCTAAGTAAAAATTGAGAATTTTGTAAAATACTTCAAACAAAAGAAATACCTTACAAATCATGTTAAAAATAATAAAAGTTTATTATAAATTATCTTTGATGGAGCATTTCTCTAAAAGTATTACATTACAAAAAAAATCTATGGCCATATCTGAACATGGGCAGTCTTGCACCTGAGAGATGGCGGAGCTTGAGAAGGCTTAGAGTGCACACTGAACAGAGAGGCTGAGGAGGCAGGGGAATGCACCCACAGCCCATTTTCTCTCTTCCTCTGCCTGTGCACTTGAGAAAGTCAGGCATTGATTCTGACCTTTGAGATGTGGGGACATTGGTCGTTCTGTTGGCTCTGTCTAGGCTGCTAGTTCTCTTTCTCACCTGTTCTCTTCACCTTTGGAAAGATATTTTTGCAGATGCCTAAGGACCCTCTTTAATGCAAAGCAGATTGAGTTGCACACGCTCACGGTGCAGGAAAAACAATTTTCTACAAAGTGGAGGGCAGCTTCTTCTCTGGAATTCCATTTTTGTGAAATTCTTCC